TGATGTAACATGCATTTTTCAAACTAGGTAAGGACCTTGCTCCTTGGAACATATCTTAAGGAGCTCTGAAAACACTTCTCAACATTCCCAGAACCTCAAGGCGTGACTCAGGCCACTTGTCCCAAAGTCATTATCCAGCCAAGGCCTATAAGAGCATAAGCCACCCCTCCTACCCACTCACAGAAAAGAACCCATTCTTTCCCCTCAAGCGTGTCACTCACACCAGGCCGCAAAGCCTTGCATCCTGCTTGTCTAGTTTGGAAACCCAAGTCTCAGAAGCCCAGAAAGAAAGAGCTGCAGTGCAGCTAGCTCCTCAACTCCAGCATCAACACATATGGAGAGAACAAAGAGCTGCTGGCGTCCTGGTGAGAAAAAAGATGTATCCAAAGGAGATAAAGAATAGGATGAACAGACAAGAGCCAGATCCATGCAAAAGACAAAAATCTAGAAAAGAACACAAGCGCTTGCCTCTTTAATTTCTCTCAATTACATCTTGAAGTTTTTATGCTATAAACCTTGCATCTTTATTAAATTTATTGTTAATTGTCTTAGTTACCATTCTATTACTATGAAAGGACATCATGACCATGGCAACTTTTATAAAAGAAAACATTTGATGGCTTGCTTATGGCTTCAGAGTTTAGTTCATTACCATCATGGTAGGAGCTTTACTGACATTTCTTTCATGATCCCTGATTTTTGTTTTGCTTTCTTTTGAGACAAATTCTCACTCTGTAGCCCTTGAATTCACCTAACTAGCCCAGGCTGGCCTAGAACTCAGGATGATCATACCTCAGTGTTCCAGTGCTAAGATTACAGTCATGAACCCAATATTCAGCTAAAAATTATGAAATTATTAAAAGAAAGAATAGAAGTGACTCCTCATGAACTGAGATCTGACTGTGGTTTCTTAGATGTAAGACTACAACCGCAAGCAACAGAAGGGAAAAAAAATACTGGATTTCAACAAAATTAAGACTTTCACTCTTCAAGGACAGACTGTGAACATAAAGCTCTATTTCTAAAAGTCTTTCCCTACAGAGATGTAAACAAGGTCTACCCTTCCTCCTAAGGTCCCAACAACAAACCTTGGTGCAGTTCAACCGGTTCTACCACAGTTTATCAGGAGGAACCAATGATTTTCTTGGGCTTACTTATGGAACAATGCGTGGGAGGTGATGGTTAGGAGGTGGGTGATCTTAAGGCCGCTGCCCTGTCGTGCTGCACCCAGCAGCGATGGTAGCTTCCCCCTGGCTAGGTAGATGAAGCCCCTCCCTTCACTCTTCTACACTGATGGCCTCCAGCCCTTCCCCCAATACCCTAAAGTCATCTGCTATTGGGGCACAATTGCTCCAGCTGGTTGGGAGGGTGGCTGGATTCCAGGAGGGTCCCATGATCCTCTCTGCCCCCTTTCTAGGGAGCAAGGTAAAAAAAAAAGTCAGCAGGCCCATCTGTGAGAATCTTTTGCAAGTAGGCCCAGATGAGCTCCTAAAGATGGTGGCTGTTTGGCTTTGAGGACAGTCCTGGACACCAAGCCCAGAGAAGAGAGACTATTTTTCAAATCACATATCTGATAAGGAACCTGTATCCAGAATCCATGGTGATTTCCTACAGCTTAACACTGAATACAGAAGCCAGTAAGTACATTAGAAGTCATAATTTGTTGCACAGGAACTGCAAGACAAGCTGCAGTGAGACCATACTCCACACCCAGGAGACCATTCTTCAGATAGAGACATACCACAATGAGGACCTGGGAAAGTGAGAGGAGTCCTGTGCTACAGCTGGAAATGTGACATGACACATTCGTGGCTGCTTTCATGACATTCAGAAGTTCCTCAAAAAGTTGAACACAGAGCTTGATCTGACCCAAGAATCCTAGTCCTGCTTATAAACCCAAGAGAAATGAAAACAGACACACAAATACTAGCACATGGTTTCTATTTTATTTTTTGAGACAGGGTTTCACTGTAGCTTTAGAGCCTGTTCTGGAATTCGATCTATAGACCAGGCTGGCCTTGAACTCACAGTGATCCACTTCCTTCTTCTGGGATTAAAGGAGTGTGCCAACACTGCTCAGCTTGCACTTGGGCTCTAATGAGAATGTTACTCATTAGCTCAAAAGTAGAAACCCAAATGCCATCCATTAACTAGCTAATGGTTGAATAAATAGAATGTGACATATTCACATGGTGGAATATTATTTTGCTATTAAAGGCTATGTTATTTGGATTAACCTTGAAAACATGTTAAGTAACAGAAGACCAAAGTGTCTCATTTCATTTAATGTGTCTAGAATAGACAGAGTCATACAGACAGACAATTAACAGCAATGGTGGCTGTAATATCCGTGGGCATGCTAAGAGCCACAAAACTAAAATTTCAGTGAGTGAATCATATTGAAAGACCCCCGGAGGCTCAGGCCCCCAGGATTTCAGCTCAGGACTTCCACGACCCCAATCACCAGGCAGAGGTGAAAACTTGATGCAAACAGCAAGAGGTTTTATTGCAGTTGTTTAATGAGCTAAACCCATGATAGCTCGGGCCTTTCATCCATCCACCATGGTGGAAGGCTGGGAAAAGGCCAGGAGAAACCACGGGGCAAAGATCTTATAGGACAGTGTAAGGGGAGTGTCTAGGGGTACTCACAGGTTCAGGATTGGTGTGCCTTGAGGCTTAGAGGACTTGCTCTGTTTTGATTGGTCAACTGGTTGTTATGGCCCATAGGCCCTCCCAGGGTGATTGCTATGCTCTGCACGTCATTGCTGTGCACTTGTCTGTAAAGCACTCCCAGAGCCATAAAGCATAGTACCACCAGCTAACTTCTGATTGGTTCCTTGCCACGAGGCAGGCATCTGACCTCCTAGTGACCAAGGCAAGGTCAGGCAAACACGTGTTAGGCTGTTATGACTGCCGAAATGGGCAGTTGGTCCCTTCAGTATCTCAGATTTTTTAAAAGAGAGGCCAGTGAGATAGCTCAGCTAGGATAAGCACTTGTTGCACAGGCCTGGTGATTTGAGTTCAATCCCTGGAGCCCACACAAAGGTGTGGGGAGAGAACTACCTTACAAAGGTGTATCCAGACCTACACACACACACACCAAGATAGGTGTGCACATATCTCACACACACACATAGAAATAAAGTTTTCTAAATTAAAAAGAGAATGTTTGTATTGAACACAAAGCTCTCCTAAAATCTTGAGGAAAAGAAAATGAAAGGTTATCTTTTCACAATGCCCTTAAAAAAAAGTTCAAATCATATTCGTTTTCAAACATGCATTGCTCAGTTATTTTTACCACTGTACGGGCATCATACAAAAGACTCGACACAAATCTCAACAGCATATATTGGTCAAGTGTTGCCTCTCCATACAATCAAGAAAAATGGTAACCAGATGTGAAATCTCTGGCAGTGCAACACAACAACTGTGTACAATAAAAAAACTCTAATACCTAAAACCTGTGATCTCTATGAGTGAAAAAATGTGATAAATGCATGAGTCAGTAAGTAGTATCACTGTTTTCTGTCATTATCAAGTCTTATGACTGTACCTAGCAGTATGGGTTGAATTACATATGACCTAAAGCACAGTAGGTTGTTTACAGTAGCTTCACCACAAATACATAACGTGTCCCCCTACAGCATCATGATGGCTGTGACGTCATGAGGTGCTGGAACTCTTCCAGCTCTGCTACACTCTATGGGACTGCCATGGAATGTGATCGATCTGTCGTCCACAGGAACCCATGAGACTATACTTGTGGTCCTACCTTGTTTTCTGTTGTTGCAATAAAATTGTGACCAAAAGCAACTTGGGGGGGGTGATTTATGTGGCTTTCATGTCATGATTACTAAAGAAACTCAGGGCAGGAACTCAAGTAGGAGCAGAGTCAGGAACCATGGCGGAATGCTGTTATTGGCTTACCCTCCATTGCTCCCTCAGTTTGCTTTTTTTTAAAAAAAATTTTAGGTTTTTGTTTTATTCATACAAGTGCTTTCTTTGCCTGCCTGTATGTCTCTGTGCATCACATGCATGCCTGGTGCCTGAGGAAGTAGTGAGCCTCCTTGTGGGTGTTGGGCCTGGTGCCTGAGGAAGTCAGAGGGTGGCATTAGATCCCCTGGAATTAATGTGTTACAGATAGTTGTAAGCAATGTTATGGGTGCTGGGAATTCAACCTGGGTCCTCTAGAAAAGGAACCAGTGCTCTTAACTGCTGAGCTATTTCCCCAGCCCCAAGAGGGAGCATTTTTTGAAATTTTATTTATTTTTATTTTATATGTATGAATGTTTGCCTGAATGTATGTTCATGCACCAAATGCCTGCAGTGCCAGAGGAGGCCAGAGAGGGCATCAGATCCCCAGGCACTGGAGTTTATGGCTCGGCATTGAAGCCAAATTCCTAGAAGAGTAGCTATTGCTCTTAACCACTGGGACATCTCTCCAGCTCCACAAAGAAAAAGTTTTGAGACGCAAGGACTAGAGTGCAGGGGAAGCTCCAGGAAGCTAACCTCAAGTGAGTACAACTACAAGATGTGGTGTTCTCACTAGGAACCCAGAGGCCTGTCATTCCCACTAGAAAACTACTGATTGGAAATATATCGGCAGCAATAAGACAGCTTTCAAAGTGTAGATTTTCAAAGTTTAAATTTTATTTGTATACAAAAATATATTATGATGAGAAAAGCTTATTATTGTCTCCAACTATATATAAGTAATTACAAATATTTCCATAAACACATCTTAAATTATAGAAGAGCTATGTTTAGGGAGTAGAAACACATTAGATAGATCATCCGCTAAGTATGCTGCAGCCAGGTAATCAAAGTCAGTTTCACTGTCTGAGTTGCCCAGAGATGGGCCCAGCAGCAGATGTTAGGGTAAGCCGAGAACAGCCTGATGGCACGTGAGCCTTAGCTCTGTCCCCTCCTGCAGCAGATCCAGGTGCTTGGGGCCTTCTGGAGTTTCACTCTTGTGGCCTCAGGACCCTGCACTCCTTGCTTCACATACCTGGTAAGAAGAGATAGAGTTAGCTAGTCCTGCCAGACGCTCACCGTCCCCATGCTCAACCATGCTCACATGGACTCAGACCCGCATCAACAGCAAAGTTAATGGCAGGCTTCCCGTGCAGAGTATGTCTGGCTAACTGGAGTGACTAGGAGGCCAGCTGCAATTTGCATAAAGTAGACAGGCTTCTGGCCTGGGCCTAATACAAATTGTGCTGCAATTAGAAGAATCTCTGTCAAAACAGACCTAGGTCTTCTGAAGTACAACATGGAAGAGAAGGGGGCAATAATATCATCAAGCAAATACATAGTGACAGAGTGTTAAAACCCTGGCTATTTTAAGTAGACAGTTTAACTTTTTGATCTAAATTTTTAGATTTTTCCTTATTTGGCAGAGTAAAGACATAGAGTACTTCTTACAGAAAAATGGTCACTTTCACTAAATAATTAAGAAGCCATAACAAAAAATTCTGCAAGGCTTAGCAAGTCCCTCTGAGGAGAGACACTGAGGCCAGCAACCCTACAAGCTGGGGCTGAGTTTCCTGCCTCTTGCAATCTTGTCCTTTAGAAGAAGAGCCCACAGACAAGAGTGTGACAGTTCTTTCCTCTTAACCCTTGCCTCCCCACACACACTAATCCTGAACAGTGTTGCAATTTTGACCTGATCTCTTCAGTTTGGGGGGCCACACAAAATGGATAATCGACAGTGTAATCCTCAATTAGAAGCACATATCTGCACACCGAATCTGGGTCACTAGTGAGTTAGCATGGGGATCCCAGACCACTTCTCTTTGGCACCCACTCCTCACAAGTCTCACCAGGCCCTTGCATCATACCTGGGGAATTACCCTGAGGGGACAGATCCTTCAGGGCTTGCTGGAGGAATGTGTGTGTGACCAGTCAGCTCATTCCTTCTCTCAGAACCGGAACTCCATTCCCACAGCAAAGCTCTCTCCAATTTCTAAACAACATGCCATTGTCTGTTCCTGACCTGTTTGCACAGTTGGGAAAGCAATTCCAGCTACCGTCCTGTAAACTTACCCTCCAAACTGCTTTCTGAGCTACTGAGATCCTGTTTCTACACCTAGAGCAGCTTACGGTGTAACTTCCCACCCCCAGGCAAGCTGGGAAACATCACAGCACATTATCAAAGGTGTGGCTCAGTATCCCGAGTGATGTTTGACACACCAAGCATGTACTCACTTGCTAATGTTCTGTCAAGATCAGCAATGAAGTCTTCCAGCTCTTTTGTGTCACCTAATTTGGCTGCAAAACAGAAAAGAGTTCAGGTTCCCTCTCAGGCACAGCTGGTGGAGGACTTTTCCAGGGATTACAGTTTTCAGATTATGGAAAGCTGTCCTGTCGTCTCCAGGGACCTCACGGAGCATGCCCTGCTCCAGTCCTTAGTGCCTCCTCCACATCTGCGTCTGTCTCAGCAACTGACCTCCGTGTCTGTCCTGTAGTTCACTACCACCCTAAGCCACCATCGTCCCCACCTTCCTAACCTAGAAGATGAACCTTTTCAGTGTCTTAAAAGTCTGGCAGACAGTGAGGGGAGGAAGGGAAATCATTTGTTTGCACTGCGGCTGGAGGACAATACAATGGCCCTCCAATGTGAGGTGAGGGTAAAATTACTACTATTTCATGTCAACTGGTACAGGGAACATGACAGCCCATCTCAGAGTAGCACAGAGCTTTTGTGCAGACACTGTTGTCTCTGCAGCCAGAGGCATATGCTTTCCTTATGCAGTTACTTTCTTCTGTGTAGTTTGTCATTCATGCCTTCCTTGAAATGCATTGCTGAATATTTTTCTTTACTGGCTACAAATGGTTCATTGTTCTTTGATTTCAAGTCCACTTGCCACAGTGGCTTTTTTTTTTTTCCCTTCTGTAATTCCCAACTCTGGAAGATTAGGTAGCAGAGCTGGGCACCATTTAAGCCATTCTCTAGACTGTTCTATCCCTGGAGTTCACAGATCCATTACGGATTGGAAGCTGGACAATGGCCGAATCCCCTGTGGCTGCTAACATTTGTGTTGAGAAGAGAACTTAAAAATATCTCTTTCAAGAAAGGGAAGTTCTGTTTGACTGCCAGATGAAGACAAGTCAGGGGATCTCATATTTCTTTGAAAGTTGGTTCCATTTTTATTGCATTTTGCAACTATGTTCCACAAGTTCAATTTTCCTTAGAGGGGGGAACCTCCTTTTGTTCTTAAAAGGGCACCTCTCCAGTTTAACAGAATGGTCAGCTCTCTAGCTGGTGAGACTTGGCCAATTCCAAAAACTGAGACTCCATTCATGCCTCTTTTAACCCTTGTTAGTCTATTAATATCGAAGCAGAGACAGGGTGGAGCTGGTGCTGTGGATCATGTCCATTTTATATTTTAAAAGCATTCATTCATTCATTCATTCATTCATTCGGTATGTGTGTATGTATGCATGTATGAATATATGTGCCCATGTAGAGATAAGAGGATGTCTACCAAGTAGGTTCCAGAGATGATCAAACTCAGTTTGAAGCCATCACCCTTACCCACTAAGCCAACTCAATGGCCCCATGTTAGATCATTCTTGTCTCATGATGACAGCTACTAAGCTGGTCACCAACAAGCACTGGTGTAAACACCAAATGAAATTAAAAAGAAAAGCATCTTCTCATTGCTGCAAAGCCAAACTGCTGAGTTTTACATTATGAAACCCAGCTGGCCCAGGAAGACAAAGAGGAGCACTCCCTTCTGCCACAAGACAGAATCTCCATGTGGCCAAAACCCCAGGAAATATGCACGCTGTCTCCCAGAACTCTGTCTTATCTATGTGCTCTGTACACGGTGAAAGCCTGGTTGACGATGAACAGAAGGGTGGGAGGGGATAAGAGTCTGGTGGGTGAACTCACCTTTCCGAGGAGTGACAGTGGAGGTGAGCAGAGCTGGAGTGGAGTCGGTTGGAGAATTGAGTTTCTCATCACTGAAGCTGAAGCTGTCCCTGTACAGTGAGTCTGCACCTTCAAGGAAAGAAGCCGTATTTATTGGGAGGTGTTCTCACTAAACCATAAGGAAAGAGACCATATTCATTAGGTGTTCTCACTAAACCATAGGAAGGAGGCCATATTCATCAGGAGGTGTACTCGATAAACAGACACTTGCCAGTCTGTGTCCACAGTACCCAGCAGTTAACCTCTCAAGAACCAGATGTAGCAGCTGTTAGCGTAAAGAAAACAGGCCCATTTCCAATCTAGGAAATGATCTAAGGCAGGGAGGGGAGTGTGTGTATGTCTGTGTGATTGAGTGTGTGTCCTGTACATGTGATTGTGTATATCCAGTCAACCGCTAAAACAGTATGATGGGTTAGAAGGACCAGAAATCTGCTACACAGGAGTCTGCTGGCCAGCTATCAGTTAGGTCAGGGCTAACGGGATGAGGGTTTGAATATGGTGTGGCTTGGTTGGATAGTGTGCTTGTCCAGAAGACATGAAATCCTGTGTTCAATCCCAGCACCACATAAATTAGACATGGTGGTGAAAGACTAGGAGTTGGACATACTCCCTGGTAGGCAGACAGCTAGGCAGAGGGGCCATGGTTAGATAATAAAGGTGAACTTCCACAGCCTCCTGACTTGAGACAAAAAGAAAAAACAAACAAAAAAACCCTTCAGCTTAAAACAAGACCTTGTAGGCTTTTGTCTCCCACCAGCAGGCCCCCTGCAGATGGACTGGTTTAACAAGTTCAAGACCAGATCAAGGACTTGTTACAAAACTGTTGTGGGTCAATCAGCCATCCTGTCTTTCTTCAAACTGACCAACCCTAAATAGGGTAGGAAAACTGTGGTCTCAGAGGCAGGCGGATCTCTGTGAGTTGAGACCAGCCTGGTCTACAAGAGCTAGTTCCAGGACAGCCTCCAAAGCCACAGAGAAACCCTGTCTCGAAAAACAAAAAACAAAAAACAAAAAACAAAACACCACCAACAAATCACGTCCCCCAACAAGAGATTGGATTTTTTTTGGCCTCTGCTTGACAGAGGGTGTTTTTCTGCTTCATGTGTTTCCTCATCCCCAATAATCAGCATGTTTTCAACTGCTAATTCTTTAGGCTCCGGTTTGCAATGTTTGAGATTTCTCTGCTGCAGTCAAGATTTTTGCCCCGCCTTTTAATTCTCTAACTGGCAGAGAAAGCGAACCTCACCAAGACCCCAGCCCTGTATCACTGACACACCAGTCAGTGGCACACCAGTGATCCCAGCACTCTGGAGGTAGAAACAGGAGGATCAGAAAGAAACTCAGGGTCACCCTCAGCTACATACTGAGTAAATACTTGAGACTCTGTCTTCAAAAGGGAAAAAAGAGGCATGGGACAGGATGGGGTAGGCAGGCACTAAGAGCTAGCTGCTTTTCCAGAGGACATGGGTTCTATTCCCAGCACCCACCTAGCAATTTAAAACAATCTGCAACTATAATTCTAGGGATCTAATGCCCTTTTCTGGCCTCCTAGGGCACCAGGCACACAGTGGTGCACAGACATACATACAGGCAAAACACATACACATTAAAAAATAAATGTAAACACTCAAAATGCAGTATCATTTTTCATGAAAAGCATTCTCTTTCTTCTAAACATCTTTCAAACATAAGCACAATGTTAGGCCCTACTCTAATAATTTCCCTCATTGCTCACAAGTCTTGATCACACAGTTCCCCAAGATTCTGCACTCTTGTCTCTGACAAACTGAAGTCAAGAACAAAGATTGCATTTGTCCTTGGCTGTTCATCCGTTACGATCAAGGGACTTCACAGACCCTTCTATTCTTATGCCCCAAATGTCAAAGCAGCAGCAGGCAAAGTTCCAGCCAGGCTGGGTTGCACCAGGACCAGGAGCAACTCAGCTACTGCCTGTTTTAGGGTGCTTGAAAAAAACAATATTCTGGGCCTCAGTTTACCCATCAATAGGAAGGAAAAGTAAATTGGACAATCTTTCCAGTCTCTTCCAGTTCTGAGATTCTAAATCCTGTCAAAGAGGAGGAAGCCAGCCCTGCTCTGAGGAGGTAACAGAGGCTCAAAAGACAGAGGAGGTTAACGGAAGCAGGATGTGGCCCCGATGAGGTGGCCAGGGAGGAAGCCACTTTTCTGGTTAAGAAACGGAAAACAAAGCCACTCAGCCTGTGGCAGGAGCTCTCAGAAGGCTCTTCAGATTGAGCTGATGAAGGCCTGGCCAGGCCCTGCTCCCCCTGGAGGCTCCTGTCCTTCAGGCCATTTCTCTCTAGCTCAGGGAGAGGCAATACATCTTGCTTTAGTTCATTAACTCAAAATAAAATTGTCTAATTATTTTGTTAATGTGCTCAGGATAAAAGGAAATCAGGTTTCTGAAAGAAGTTTCTAGTCATATGAGAATTGGATGCCACACCTCCTCAGATTGTTTTGTCTGGCTCTATGTCCTCTGCCCTCTAACCAGAAGGATTCAGATGCCCTCCTGCCATCCTTTCTGTCCTATAGACTCACCTATTTTATTTCCCCAAACACGCCCAGCAGAAGCTCATTAACAATCCTCGAGATCTTTTCTTCCTTTGGAGAGTTCCAGCCCAGGTTACCTTAAAGGGCCACAGTCATTTCTCAGGTGATGATGAACCCATATACTGAGGTCCTCAAAACTGAACCTTAAACCCATACTCCCTATCCAAAAATGTAACCAACCCCTAGCTCTAGAATGTAGATCCTTGACATGTGTGGCCAACTATATTCTGGCAACACCAAGATCACAGTTGATGACTCCTGCTATGACTGCCCCAAGAAATCTTGAGATGAAGAAAATGGTCTGGCCCTAGCCCTCTTCCCATGTGTACTTGACAATGTGACACTTCATGGCTCTCCTATTATCTCTTAGAAAATTGGAACTCTGTAGAACTTGAGTTGGAAGCCCTTCTGCTAGTTTTTTTTTTTTTTCAGGTGTTTACACCTGTAGAAAGAACAGCAGTAGCTGTAGCAGTCCCCTGCACACAGGAAGGTACCTTCAGATCTGTTGCAGACCCCTGGGGGAACATCACTTTATCACTGGCAATAACTAGGGAGTCACCACAGATACAGAGGAGAAATGTATGAAGAAAAGACAGAATCATCTTGGGGTGAACCACCCAGGGACCCAGGGAAGCAGGCTCTGAGTCACAACATCCTTGTCTCTGAAAGAGATCCAAGAACATTGGATCAGAGTTCCAGTTCTGAGACTCACTAATCCAGAGCTTAAATGCTCTCTATCTCTCAGAACAGCTGGCACTTGAGAGCCACTTTCAACACCACACCTCATTCCACCCCACCCTGCATACACCACGGTCCTTCCCCTAGCTTTGAACTTCATCTCCATTCTGCTCCAACTCTTCAGAAATTTTATAGCCATAATATAATTATGCTTCGGGATTAGGGATGGGGGCACAGCAGCTTGGTTCACCTTCCAAGCAATTGGGACAACTACTATTGGCTGTTTACAGAAGCAATAGCTCAACATGGAAAGGGCCATTGCAAAAGAGAGTGACAGAAAAAAAAATCCAAAGAGGAGTACGGGAGATTTCAATCCAGATATCGTGGAGAGAGAGAGAGGCCATGAGGAAGAGGCCATAGTCTCAGGGGACCATTCTGGTTTGCCTTTGATCCTTCAAAATCTAGTCCATATGAAAACTCCCTTAACCCAAGCACTTTCCTCAAGGTCAGAAAATATAGGCAGAATCTGATTTTTACATGACAAACTCAGTTGTAAACCAGACTGTTTGGTCTGGAGTTGCCTCATTGCCAATGAACTCATACTGCTCTCCTAATGAGGGAGGGAGAGGGGATAAAACACAGCATCTATGTACACAGAGTCAGGTCAGCATAGCCTGCGTTCACTTCCCTTCCCCCTGTACCCCCCCACGCCCCCCACAATCTCACATCCTGTCAGCTCATTGTCATTCCATGGTTCTACTCTGTGTCTTCGAACACCTTAGGCCAACTCCTGGCTCTAGTGTGTTTGACCATCAACTATGAAGAAATAATGAACTCCCAGGATCTTTGACCAAGTTGCCCTATCTAGATCCACCTGTGGCAATAGTTCACACATGGCAATTAATGAGGGACAGAGAGAATAAAGGAAAGAGCAAACCCAAGTCCCAAGTCCCTGAAGCTATGCCGCTGAGGCGAAGGTGAGGAGCAGAGGCCACGTGAAAGGCAATAACCACCCAGGCACTCTGTGTGTGATGCCTGTGGCTTCATAATAATTTGATTTTCAAGTACCTAGCAAAATGGAGAACAGCAGGTACAGAAAGAAGGGCATTATCACTGAGAAAAAACAACCAAGATTCTAAGCCCTGGCTTCCTGCTGTTTTCAGATTGTAACTTTTTTTTTTTTTTAAGTTTCTCTGCAGAAGTGACCACAACACAGAGATACCTAAACTTTCAACTTCTTTACCCAATATTTTCCCCCATAGGCTTTTAGTAAGAGGCTGTCTGAAGGGAATTTCATGTTAGAGGTGTTGGCAGCTGACTAGGTAAGCACGGCTCAAACTCCTGGTCTGGTCACTCCCTTAGAAATGCAGTTCTTACAAAAGTAATACTCAGCTAGTCTGATAAAATGCCAGCAGTGTGGCTCTGGCTGATAGCACGTATACGTACTGCTATCCCACCCTGCTATCTGGTATTCTTATTAATTGTTGTGATCAAGGGACTCAGCAGTGATGACTTGGGGGACTTTCATAGATGGTAAAGGAAACATCTACTTCAGACTGCCTTAAAGCCCCACCTAACTAGTATCAAATCCCTACTACAAATGTCCTTCAAATTCCCAATCCATTTAATGCATTTAAGTGTCAGATCTGGGACTGAGGGTCCCAAGGGACCATCAAAAGAAATAAAAGCATATTACATACACAACCCCCTAGGTTTAGGTATGCCCATCAAACATAAGAAACTCCATAGCATTGTTTAAAAGAAAGGTGAATGTATGTATGTATGTATGTATGTATGTATGTATGTATGTATTTTTTTAATTTGGGGGGTTGGGAGAAAGGTAATTTAGGGTCAGAACTGACGTGTGCTATTCCAGAGAAAAGGAAAACCACAGACAGTGAGCCTTGCCCAGAATGCCTGTAAATATAGAACTATCCCACACATCTGCAGCAAGCAAACTATAGTAATTACCAAGAAAAAGAAAGTCCTGGGCCTGTGTCACTATCCCCATGGAGAATGGAAGGGATGAGGGATCTCTCTTCTACTCCAAATCTCAAGTCTGATAACTCCAGTGAAGCGTGGCACAATGGGAAAGAGTCTGGTTCTCAGTTTGATCATTGTGCCCCAGTTCCCCTCTCGAGTAGCTCTGATCCTCTAAGAACATTTGCCATGTATCGGAATATAAAAGCTGCCACTCACTCGGCTCCTAACATGGTACCAGACATCTGGAGGGCACCTACCTGGCCTCAGCTCTCACATCTTGACAAGATCAAGCTCCTGGCCCCTCAGCTCGATTAACCACTGGCTTGTTAACTGTCACTCTGGTTTCTAGAGTCCCTAAAGTCTTCTCTCTCCAGGCCAGACCAGAATACAAGCAAAAGTATTTGGAGGTTCTAAGTCTTGCTAGGCTTTAGAACCCCGTTCCTTATTCTCCGCAAATATCTACAATAACATCATATGCACAGCATGCATAGTAGACCTCTGATCTATTAAACAGCAGAAGACTTCCCCTCTCTAAAGATAAACATTTGTGAAACTTCAATATAATAAGAATCATACTGGCCAGGCGTTGGTGGCACATGCCTTTAATCCCAGCACTTGGGAGGCAGAGGCAGGTGGATCTCTGTGAGTTCGAGGCCAGCCTGGTCTCCAGAGCGAGTGCCAGGATAGGCTCCAAAGCTACACAGAGAAACCCTGTCTCGAAAAACCAAAATAAAATAAAATAACACCTCTGAAACGGTATTCCTCAACATTAAAAAAAAAAAAAAAAAAGAATCATACTGGGTCCCATCTTTTAAGTCAATATAATAAACTGTTTATAAAGTCAACCAGTAGAAGCATACATTAGCATGCATGTTAATGAGTGAAATTTTTATTAAACCCACTTAAAGAGTCACACTATACTTTCAAATTAAAAAAAAAAAAAGAAAAAAATTACTGAAAAAGAGCTGGGTGTAATGGTGCACTCCTTTAATCCCAGAACTTGGGAGGCAGAAGCAAAAGAATCTCTGGGAGTCTGAAGCTAGCAAGGTGAGTTCTAGGACAGCCAGAGGTACACAGTAAGATCCTGTCTTAATAAAAAAAACAACCAAAGATGTTCAATTTCTATAGCACCTCAAAGAATAAAGCCTGAAAACCACTTTCCTAGCTCCCAACTGCCTTGCGCTTTTACTGAGACATTTAAAATTGTTCCTAATAAGACAAAATCCATTCTCACGTATTGCTGATGTGAATGTGTGTGTATGAGCATTTGAGCACAGGTACCCTTGGAGGCTAAAGGTGTCAGAACCCCCTGGAACTAGAGGAGTTCCTGGCAGTTGTGAGCTGTCCAATATGGATGCCAGGGGACCGAAGTCTGGTCCTCTTGAAAAGCAGCAATTTTTTTTTTATTTTTTATTTTTTTTTTTTTTGGTTTTTCGAGACAGGGTTTCTCTATGGTTTTGGAGGCTGTCCTGGAGCTCTTGTAGACCAGACTGGTCTCAACTCACAGTGATCACCTAGCCTCTGCCTCCGAGTGCTGGGATTAAAGGCGTGTGCCACCAACACCCAGCTGAAAAGCAGCAATTTTTAACCCCAGCACCATATCTCTAGTCCTGTAACCTAATTTTTGTTTGTTTGTTTGTTTGTTGAGAAAAAGTTTCTCTGTGTAGCTTTAGAGCTTGTCCTGGAACTCATTCTGTAGACTAGGTTGGCCTCAAACTCAACCTAATTTTTTAGGGGGGAAAAAAAAAGGTATTTTTCAAAAGTCAGGAATATTCATCACCTATGTCCACTGACCCTTGATCCTGAAAACCTTGAAAAGGACCTGCAATACCATGTATAAAGACACATGATCTGAGCACAATGGAGCATGAGGCTACTCCCAAGTTCTGGTTCATATTCTGTGACGACAGAGCAAGGCCATAGACAGCCAGCCTGTGGTCTGCTATTTTATCAAAGAAATTGATGAAGATCAAAGTACCTAACCTGTGGTAAGGATTATGTGTGATAACATTCAAAGAACAGCTAGAGATGACTGATAACAAGAGCAAACAAATTTTGATTATAGCAACCCTAGCGAGGGCTCGGTAAAAGTAAGCTAGCTGTTGCTGCCATTATTATAACCCTGGCGGGCCCTCTCTAGAGAGTTAAGTTTCAGTGGGCTGCATCTCACCCAGGTATTCTCCTCTTCCAAACAGACTAACAAATGTCTGTGCTCCATTCCTGGAGACAATTAAGACATATGTATTCTTTGTCCTTAAGAAAGCATTATTTAGATACATACAAATCCCAACAAGACTATTTCTGAGCAGTCACACGGGGAACAAACCAAGGTCTTAGGTCCTTCCCATTACTTCCCAAACACCACACTAAAAGCGTAAGGTTAACAACGAAAGCAGACAGTGAACTATGCACAGATATACCCTAAGGAAATTAACAAATTCTATCAACTGTCTCCCAAACTGCTAAGAAAGTGTCTCTAGTGCATTCTCTTTCTAAGACTCCTAAAAACACATCCTAGATCTGAAATCCCCCCTGGCAGAACTTGTGGGTGCTTCCGCCATAACTGCACGAGACTCTGGTGTAGCAAGGAGCTGTCCTTGGCCACAGTGCAGCAGTAACAGACCCAGCCTTGTGTTTTGTGAAGAAGAGCAATTATACATGATGAATAACTTGTCCGTCAACCCAGTGGTAGGAGATATGTTCAAGTTATGCCACAGGTATTGACTTCCAATGCAAGGCTTTGCTTGGAATGCTGGGAATAAGCAATCAGGTCAGTAGCATCAAAATGCAAAAGTTGTAAATGGACCAGAACAGCTCGCCCACCCTCTCCCATCCCCCTCCTAAGTCACACAGTGGTCTATGCAGGCCGCTATGGAAGATCAAACTAGAGCTCAGGTTTCTGCCTCAAACCCTGACCAGGATGTCAGCCAATGTCCCTTCCCAGGAGGACAGCTCAGGTGCAGGTCTCACATGGAATCTTCAAAAAGAAGAACTCTCTAGGTTTCAAAATAACATGCCTTTTCCTCCCAGGATCAGTGGGGTGATGTCTGCGCCTGCAGCCTATCTAGGGACTAAGCGCTTACAAATAAACAGAATTTAAAATTCACATTGAAAACCAGTGGGTAAGCCAGGGTTTGAAAACCAATTATGTAACAATAAAGTCTCCAAATTCACTGTTGGACACCTAAACAAATATCCAGAATCTTGCAGGTCATTTGAGTTATTGAAATACAACTCCAACTCCACGGGTTTGCTTTCTACTGGAAAAGGTTACCAGGGTAAACCTCTACTGGCAACCTGGAGGGAGGGCCTGCATCAAACAGTAACTGAACTAACTCAACAGTCCAGGGGGAGGATTGTTTCAAAATCCCCTGGAGTGGTGAAAGAGCCTGGGAGCTCAGAAGAAAGTGAATGAAGTTATTTCAAAAATTCCAAAAAAACGGCAGCTTATGAAATCATTTTGGTTTCACAAATGTTTCATTATTGTGTTTGCCCTGTCCCCAAGTCCTCAAACACCCATTCTGGAAAAGGAAAGGGGGGGTGCTGTTGGTTTAGGGTTGACCTAGAGTGCAAGAAACCCCCATGACTGCCTATACTGGACATGCTGGCACTCCTCTGTGATCCCAACATCCTGAAGTCCAAGGAAGGAAGGTCAGAAGTTCAAGATCATCCTGGGCTACACAGGTCTCCTCCGGAGGGTCTCAATAAATTTTTTTTTTTAAAAAAATGAAGAGCTGGGAGAAAAGCGGGTAAACTATTAGAAGACCTGGCTGGGGTCCCAGGAGTTCTTGTCGACTGCACAAACCCTCAGGCCTCATGGCAGACACCTGCCTGCATGGCAGGCAGACCCAAAGTCGTTCAAGAGTTCCCGTATGATTTCGGCCATGCCCCCCCACTCCCCCACCATCCCCTGAGTTTAACTCCTGAGTTTAAATCTCAGAAAGTCAACTCTCCGGGCTTCTCAGGGCCGGTGCAGGGCCTCGGGTCTGAGTTTCCTGGACACCGAGGCTCAGTTTACAGACAGCCCAGCTAACCTAGAGCCCTAGGAAGCCTGAGCCCTGGGGTCACAGACTTCAACAGTGCCTCACTTACTCTCCGAGTCGCTGAAGCCGCTGCTGTCACTGACGCTGGCGCTGCTGCGCCGCTTCATGCGTTCCAGGTGCTCCTCATAGTGGAAGTGGCGGGCATGGAAGGGCGATGCAAAATCGGCCAGCACAGCATCGAACTCGCACAGCACGTCCGTCAGGTCTGCAGCAGCCGCTGAGTCCATGGCCGGGGCTGGGGGCGGGCACAGAGCATTCAGTTGATGGGAGCGTGCGTGGGGGTGACTCTTCCCCAGCCCGTGGGGGATCTGGAGAGGCGGTCACCGGACTAGGATAGCTAACTGCACCCCCAGTGACAGCCGCCCTCCAAGGCGCC